TTTCGCCCACAATTATAACATATTTGTCCAACTTTTCGTCCAGGTCACGATGCACAGAAATAAACATCTTCGTTTTTCTCGATTCAAATTAGTGTTTATATCAAGATCTTATGGTAAAACAATAGATGTCAGCCTCGACAAGACTAAAAACGTTGCCTATAGCATGATGACTGTTGTGAGGTCTATTCTGACTTACAGCTGCGCTGTTTCTTTCTTAGATCTTTTCACAATATCTGGTAAGAATATTATATAATAACAAGAGACTAGAGATTGAAAAGGAGCGATCCGAAACAACAAATTAGTGTGAATGTCGACTATTATGATAGAATCAGACTGTATGCATGGGTGACGTGGCTGCTGTTTATGTGATTGTTTATGAATCGCTAGCTGTTAGTCTTGTCTCCAACGAAATCTACACTCGACAGTCACACTGGTTATGATCTGAAGCATGATTGTTTTACAAGAATCTAGTCTGTTTACAGACCTAGCTAATATTAGAACAAGCGAGTGCTTTTTTCAGAAATATGGAGTGTGTCTGGCGCCCAGTGTAGGTGTGAGTGAAGATAAAACTGACATCAACACACCCATCCACGAACGAATTCTTGTGTACATGTTGCATTTATACGTATATGAAATATATTTCTATTCTCAAATTATTCATAGATAATTTGATGTTTTCAGACATTAGTTAGAGAAAATTTTAAAAGTTAATAGATTATACGTGTATATATTGTGACCAACAATTCTACATTTTGATTCTCTACATTCATGTAACTACATATAAATGAATCATCTGTGATATAATAAAACACATTATTAATGATCTTTTTTTAAAATGCTTAGTATTCATATTTGGAATGGATCTAGAACAGTTCCATATTAGTTTCGATCTTTAGAATTGTTAAACTGTTCTATTATTCGAAAAATTTTTGCAACAATATAACAATTATGCTCTGTTTTGGAGTTTTTCCCAATATTAAAACAATCTTCTTGTGCTAATGGGAACAAAATTCTTTCGGACAGATCAGTTCCCATGAAAGGAATTGTTAGGACAATTCTTTTGGCCATTTCATCTGAACGTATGAATTTGAATTGGATCTATCAATATATAGAACATAAATTACAAATGAAATCAAATGTAATAATCAAGAGAAGACATCACTCTTATATCTAAATGATAAGTACTTTAAAAATGACTTTTTTTCGAAAGGATCATTTTATATATTCTTCATTCTTCAGATTCTTTTATATATGACATTATTGAAAAAAGAATATTTCGTTAATAATAAAGATTAACTCTTAGAATTAATTGAAATATTAACATTCTTTTAAAGAAAAATCAAAATCAAATTTATTCAAATTGAATTAAGTCAAACAAAATATTAAATCGATATTTGACAAATTATCTCCTAATTTTTTCTGTTTTATTCAATTTATTTGACTTTTCATTTATTTATTTTCAATAGTTTTAAATAAAGAAAATAAATCTTTTATTATTTTATATAAATCAATCAATAATTTTTTAGATTAATTCTATAACATGAAACTTAAAAGATTGGAATGAGAAAAATTTATATTCAATAAAGTATAACAAAAGAGAACTTTTCTAACGATTATCATTAGCAGAATATAAGAGGTTTTTATTAATATCTAGTTGACTCATGAGTTAGTTTACGTCATTATTTGAATTTTATTAATATTAATATATTAATGGAAAACAAATCCAGATCAAAATAAAAACAAACAATGTAATAAATGCTACTTGATCGATAATTCAACTTAGAAGTGTGGTTTAGAGAAACCTAGAAAAACGCTTATAATTTAAATCATCTACAAGCACTGTGAGTTTTCATATATTGAAGTGTTGTCCAACATGTACTAATTTCATCACTGATCAATGCTATGATCGTGAGCATTTTGAAGAAAAAAAAAACATTTCCTTCAGAAGTTCATCTCTCCGTTCTGCTGATAGTTTATAATTATGAATCAATTTATATTTAACATTCATAACTATAGGGGCAAAACCATGTCGAACGGGACGTTCCCACGCTTCGTTCAGCTGTGAGTACGGGTGTGGATGTTTTGAAGATCTGATCACATGCATCATTCCAATCAGCACCCACACCCGGACAGATGAGTCGATGTTTTAATAACTATTGGTCGATATTTTGAGCCTTTTATAGGTGGATGCCAAACACGCGTAATCAATTGGTGTCTGGGTAATATCCAAACTCAAAATAAATAACATAAAATTGAATTTTATGAAAGGAGGGGTCGCACGCAAGGTTTTGCTGGATAATCGTCTCCTCCTTTTTGCAGGCTTTTATTTTTTTTCAAGTATCGAGATCATATAGATAAAGACATCATAAAAAGTTAGCTGTCAGTCTACTGAATAAGCTAATTGTATCTGTTGCAGCTGTAAGTATAGCTGATCATAAATAATGGGTCATATATAGAATTAAACGACAAATCGGCAGCGTTACTTGGAAATGTTTTTACGCGTTGGTAGAGTTCTCGTAATAATATATTTCTCCATGTCTGCTTTCCAGTTCTTTTTATTTTTCTATCGTTAGATTAATCAACATGCCGCTTTTCTTGAGTTTTCAATTGCAGCGACAGTAAAAGTACTCAGTCCTGTAAACTGTGAATATCTTTCTGAGACTAATGTTTTGTTATTAATCGTAGAAACGATCATTCATTTTTTATAAGATATTGATTTTTATCGAGAATCGATATTCACAAGTTCACACTGCATTTCGCACTCGAGTTAAACATTGAAATATTATTCCAAGACGTTGAGTCCTCTATATGATAAAAATTTTATCCAATTCTCGGTATGATATTTCGTTAGCTCAAAATAAAATCCGAATATTATATATAATTTATGGATTTTGTTTTCATCATGTCGATATAATGAAGCAAGACTAGACGCTGATCTTAGCAATGATTAATAATCGCTAGCACTAATGATAACCCATCAATGGACAGTTGTTGATATCTCGTTTCGTTAATTAACAGAACAAAACTTCGCAGTCAATAGATGTCAGTGAATATTTCATATTATTATTAAGAAGTTAAATATCGATATTTATTATATTTAAACAAAACGCTTGATGAAACACGACATAGTTACTCAGTAATCTCCTAAGGCGAATGAATTGAATTAAGGAGTATGTTTTTCTATAATAATGATAGTAGCTTTTCATCAATTCTATAGGTACCAAAAATTTTTGTTATCTCTGCAATGTCGCAAACTCAAAACCGAAATTTGAAATGCTTCTCACTCAAAGCTGAGCTTAGAAGCCATCTAATTAACTTTTGTGAGTGTGACTAAAAAGGGCAATGGTAGATTAACACATATGTATCCTTCGATTGAAATGTCTCTATTCTTATTACCGTAATTTCTCATCAAAGACAGAACTAATGATACTTTAAGTAATGAGTACTACTGTGTCATATTTTCGATTCTTCCATATGGGTGATTCCATGGAGTTTATACCACTTTGATGGAAGTGGTCTTGGATTTTCATTTTCGTCTTCTAATTCACCCGAAGACAGTCTGAAAAGCATCCAGCAAAAAAAAAATTACGAACTTGTCCAATGAATAGTGAGCACCCGTGGACAACACGAGGTACATGTACAATTTTTTTATAGTGAGATTTTGTTCCATATATGAGCTAATCCATATAAACCACGACCGATCTTACTCCATCGAGGTCGTCAGGTTTTGATCAATTTAGGATATGAAGTAGAGGAAAGAGTTTTAAGAATTTTGACGCAAGCCGTTTCCAAAAATATTGTTTCGTTCTCGAGATATTTGAAACTTTCTGAAAGTAATATAACCCATAGAAAACATTTTTTGTGATAGTCATATCTCATGAAAAATAGATCGGTTTGACTTGAAAATTCCACTATGAATACATATCAAGATTATGTAATTATCATGAAAAACTGAGCTCAAACAAGTGAACTATTGATGAGTTGATCAGTGCTATCAGGTACACCAGAAAATGGTCATTTTCAGTGTTTTGTGCATATACATATCTCATGAATTAGTTTTGTTAGAGAGCTGAAATTTTGACTATAGAGAGAGCTCATTCAGCAACTACTGTGGTAAACAAGTTGGTTCTTTAGATAGTTTAATTTAAAATAACTAATTCATGAGATATGTATATGCACAAAACACTGAAAATGACCATTTTCTGGTGTACCTGATAGCACTGATCAACTCATCAATAGTTCACTTGTTTGAGCTCAGTTTTTCATGATAATTACATAATCTTGATATGTATTCATAGTGGAAATTTCAAGTCAAACCGATCTATTTTTCATGAGATATGACTATCACAAAAAATGTTTTCTATGGGTTATATTACTTTCAGAAAGTTTCAAATATCTCGAGAACGAAACAATATTTTTGGAAACGGCTTGCGTCAAAATTCTTAAAACTCTTTCCTCTACTTCATATCCTAAATTGATCAAAACCTGACGACCTCGATGGAGTAAGATCGGTCGTGGTTTATATGGATTAGCTCATATATGGAACAAAATCTCACTATAAAAAAATTGTACATGTACCTCGTGTTGTCAACGGGTGCTCACTATTCATTGGACCAGTTCGTAATTTTTTTTTTGCTGGATGCTTTTCAGACTGTCTTCGGGTGAATTAGAAGACGAAAATGAAAATCCAAGACCACTTCCAAAAAGTGGTATAAACCCCGTGGAATCACCCATATGGTAATTCTGCTAGATTTTGCTTTTTGAGTTTAACAGTCATGAGAAAAAAATGTCTGCATTCTTTTTTTATTTCAAACATTGATTTAAAGTGATTTGAGGTTAAAAAAAGGTCATAAATTCGTGCATTACACAAACAAACAATAACAGCAAAAAAGAAATCGAGAAATATATTTCCTTCTGTTGAACATATATATATATATGTACATATTAGATTCATTATTCTTTGTCAACATTCTAAGAAATATCTGAGCAAATATGACATATTATGTTTGAGTGTTTAGTGTCGTCGGTGGTTGAAAAGAAGGAGAAGGAGCAATAGGTACTAAACTAAATGGTGGTGGCATATTTGTATCTCGTAATTGTTTTTCTTCAACCGGAGCAGAAACTTCAGTATTTTGATTATAATTTTCTTGAATATCTAAACCAGGTGATAAATCATCACAAATTCTATTCATCCAACTTATTCGATCTAATTTAATTAATGTAATCCAACAACCACCACGTTGATACTATACATTAAAAAAAAAACAATTTATTTGTGGAATAAATTTTGTTTTAAATAACAAAAAAAAAGAAAGCAAACCTTAATTGAACATCGTTCTGATTGAATTTCACCTGGTAATCGTGCAATTGATAATGAATAGATTTTTATTTCATTATTTTTTGTTTGTACATTTAATGTAAACGTAAAGGATCTAACCAAAGTTTTAGATAAGAACATATGAATGAATGATTTATAAACTTACTGATTTTGAAAATTCAGTATTTTTTGTTCTCCATTCATTGGGATCTGTTTCGTAAAATTCGGAAATGATCGTTTAACTTTTAATTCGGGTATATTTAAATAGACTAAAACTTTTCGTGAGCCTTCTTCTTGTACTACAACTATCAATAATCAAATAAGATATTGATAATTTCATTAAAAAAAAAGATTTTATACATACAATTTGGTACAATCGGTCTTAACTCTGCCATAATTCTTGATTACCAATGATGAATAATGTTGACAAAAGTCTAAGAAACGGAAAGATTTTTTTATTGGTGTTTCGATAAACCAATTAATTGATTGACAGGTCTTATTTATAATATTTACTAGATAAAAAAAATTAAGAATTTTTATAATTTGAATTTTTTTAATATATTAAAAATTTATTTGTATTATGAAAATATTGATGACAAAGGCTGTTGTCAAGTAACAATAGTTAATTATGGTTACTTGACTGACCGTTCAACAATCTGTACATTGGAAGATTGAATTTTTATTTTAATCTCGAAAATGTATTTCCGAATAATTTCTGCACGTTTCATTTCACATGTTCTTCATTTTCTTGCAATTGCACTTTGTTTTTGGAGTCGGGTAGGTTAGAAATAATTATATTTTAAAAATCTTTTTCTTCTTATTTTGTTTTCAGGAGCGTAATGTCTATGGCTGTAATGATGATGGCTCAAATAAGTCTTATGAAAATCAGTAAAATTGAGAACATATTATTTTTATTTTTATTTATCATCTTTTTATATTTAGATTAATTGCTGCACATTCATTATCAATTATATTTTGTGTATTTGAACTTGCCCCATTAATTCTCGGAATAACATCAATAAATTTTGCTCGTTCTTTTTTAGGTATGTAAAATAAACATAATATACACTACTGGTGAAAAGTATACTCCCTTCCGATTTCAATGAATTTTTTGTCAATAAGTACTACATAGTGTTCTAATAAAAAGTTCTAAAAGGATTGAGATTTTCTATTTAGATTTAACTAACCTATTTAATTACCATTATGTCTATTTTCTAGAGGCTCTAGGTTTTCGGAAAACTCATATTTTTTTTTAATTAATTTTAGTCTGAACCTTTGTTCATGAATAGTATACAACATGCACATTTCGAAAGTTTCATATGTCGAAAAGGCTATGTTCAAAACTTCTAAATTTGTTTTTATAAAAAACTAGTCTAGTCGAATTCTCTAGGATCTCTAGAAAATAGACAATAAAAGTTTGATAGCTTAGTCAGATATCTATAGACAAAATCATTGAAATCAGAAAGCGGCTTCTAAAGAGGTTCTTCAATAAGAACTGAATGTTTCAAAAATTCGTCTACAAGTAGTTCATAGATAATATATATATAGCGGTACCATCAACGTGAAAATCGTTCAAGCTAGAATAAAGTCATAATAGGTAGCATTCGTGATCATTGTGAATCATTTTATAGCCCTGCATTATAGCTATGGTTGGTATAAACTTTATCGATTTTCATAAAACTATTGTTGAATTGGATCCGTTTTACTGAAGACATGGAGATACAAAAAAAACACATAGAATGACCATATTGAGAAATGAAGAACTCAGCGAGAGTTTTCCGTATTAAACAGAAATGGTACATTATGAAACTCGTTAAGACTTTGCAATCCATGCACATTAAGTAAATACATGAACTCATCTTTTAAGTAATACAAGACCATGATTTGAACGAAACCTAGAAAACATCTTCGTTTGTCGAAATCTCATTGGGAAAATAGTTTTATGTAAAAACAAAAATCATGCAATTCTATTGTCGGCGCCAGAATTAAATAGGGGTGGGTATAAGCTCAATAACTCGACAACCGCAATAGCTAGCGACCTGCGGTTTTCGTCAATCGAAAGAGGAGGAGTTGGGACGTCTTTTTCTCTGATAATGTATAAGACGAAATCCTTTTAAAACTAATCATATTTGAAAAACATGCAAAAGAACCCATGAAAGT